CCCCAAAACCCCAAAACCCCAAAACCCCAAAACCCCAAAAATAATAAAACTCATTAAAATAATTTCATGTCTTTATTCACAAAAATATGATGTTGTGTCCGAAAGCCTCTGCTTCCGAAGGAAGGAGCCCATATGATCTTTGGCAAAACAAAAGAGATAGAGAGTAAGAAATAGGTGCAAGTACGGGAATCCGTATCAGAAATGAACTTCACATGCACGAGAAGCCCTTCGTGACAACTACTTCAACTTCAAGGCAGAGAAAGAAAACAGAAAGGCCCCAAAACAGCCCAGTAAGATAAATTTTAATTTGTGTAGAAAAGAGCCTAAATCTATTCGCATTGATGAAAGAACAACATAGTGATGAAGACAGTAAGTCTGAAGAGGATAACCAAGAGGAAGAAAAGGTCCCAACTGGCTCAAGAGATAGGAGTGAGAAAAATTGCAGCATTGATTTTCGTGACATCTTTGATAGACATAGCGGAGCTCCTGCCGAAGATGCCCCTAAGTTTACAATAGAAAAATGAAAAGTCTACCTAAACGGGCCTATTGAGATGTGTTTAGAATCCCCACTCAGGTTTCCATTTGATGAAATTGAAGATTATGATAAAGTCACTGTGACAAAGATATCGTGAGGATGGTACCACCTCGTGGTTCTACTTAGCAATGGGGTTATATTAGTCGGAGGCAATAACGATCATGGCCAACTTGGCTTACAACGACGATTACATCCAGAAATCAAGGACGAACTTGTATTTCATGAAGAGATTAATGAAAAATATGAAGTCCTTGATATTGGCTGAGGAACATCTCATACTGTCTTGCTCGTAAGAAAAAGAGAAAACAAATTTTCTGAGTGAGAAATCTTAACTTGTGGGTACCATGGCTGACTTGGAATTGACCTTATCAATAAAGATAGAGATGAGTTTAAAGAAGTTCTTATTCCGGGTCTCACTAATTTTGATAAAATTCAATTTCTTATCTGAAAATTTGATTCAAATGTAATCATTGATTCTGACAATAACATTTACTACTGGGGAGATGAGCTAGATACCTTCAGAACGAGAGTCCCAGGAAAGAGAAACTGGTTCAGAAAGAGAATAGTTGACCTCTCATTTGGCTTCAGACATGCTCTTTTCCTTCTTGAAGATGGCTCCATCTGGAAAATTGACTCTGAGGGTATTAATAAGATTGAAGATAAAATCTTGGAGAAAATTAAAATTCTTAAAGTCGAAGCTGGCAGTCGTCATTCTTTATTCTTAGACTCTGAGGGAAGAGTTTATGGAATTGGTATCACAAAACTAGAGAATCATAATACTGAGACTAAAAAGAGACTAACAGAGTGAGAAGACCTCACTGATATCACTGATGATTCTAACTGAGTAGACGTGTTTGCAGGTGATGGAAATAGCTGAGCAATTGATTCGGATGGAATCCCCTACAGATGGGATGGGGTAACTGGTAAAATAGAAATCATCGAAAATCTTGGAGGAAAATACATCCTTCAGATCTACCTAGCGAACCAAAACATTGTTGCAGTGTATAGTACCGAAACTGACTAATGGCTTAATTTTTAATATTAATTTATAAAGGCTCAAACCATTTCACGATTATTTCAAATTTTAGTTTGGTGAAAGGGGTTTTGGGGTTTTGGGGTTTTGGGGTTTTGGGG